GCCAACAAGAGTAAGGGTCTAGGCAGAGAAGGGTGATCGAGATAGAAGCAAATCGACTTAAAATAAGCCTAATGATGAAGGGGGCCCCAACTTTCTTAATTTAAGGGTGGGCTTATCGGCAGCCCAATTACTCACTAATGGCTACAACTGCACCAAACCCAATCTGTGTTGAACTATGGAATAACATGTTAAATGGGAAAAAGTTGATTAAAAAGCATGTGAACACTGATGTTATAGATATGTACATTCCCAACGTTTTAAATACAAGTTAAAAGGACAGTTTAATATTTTAATCTTTTTCTTCTTTCAGAAACTGCTTGGCAACACAATCAAAATGAATCCAAGGCTAATAATGCAAGTTGAGTTTCTGACTCAGTTGAGGACAGCTTGGGTTTTGTACACTGGGTGGAAATTTCATGAGCCTCGTGCTGTATTTTAGTTTTGCGGGCCTGGCTATTTTTAGCATTGTGTGGCTTGAATCTTCAAAGAAGTTCTTGAGAATAAAATTGGAATTATTCACATTTTAAGTGCAGGCCACATGGCACAATTTGGTGAGATAAATCTGTGAGAAATTCCCAAATATGAATCACATATGTGGGGAAGAATCTGGCCCACAGACTTCCTTTAATTAAATGCCTGTCTAATAAAATATCGGCAATGGAATACAGATGACTGTTAAAAGGAGCTGGAGCAACTCATTTTAAATTCTGGAACTCATTAAATGCATTTCTCCATGCTAAGATGATTTCTTGCATTTTTATTTTGCCCTGAACAAGCAGCAACAAAACCAACCACAAAAGGGTCTACAATTTAGATATTTTGAAATACTATCTAACCGAAGATATTTATACAAGGAGGCCCTGGAGTAGGCCTGAGTGGCTTGGGGATTTCTGTTTCTACCAATGGTTTGTCTCCCATCCAAGGCCTTAATGATATCATTTCATAGAGTAGCCCTTATGCGAAGACCTGGGTTCCCTGCTGATTCAGGAGACCTCTTCACTACATGTTCTCTTGGAAAACCCTCTGGAAATCTGAAAGAATTCACAGGCTTCTAATCTGTTGTCTATTCTTCACACTCAAGCCCCTCTCTGATTTCCCCCCCTCTTACTTCAACTTTATGCCTGTGCACACCTCCTTAAGCCACACAGTGAGATTCCAGAGGCCAGGGAAAGAGTTGCGCAAAAGGTCAGGGCATGGAAGGTGAGATGGGGGAGGCAGCTGGCTTTCCTCGATCTACGCACAGGGAGAGACCACGTCACCTCTACAAACTGGCTCTACCAGGCTCAAAGAATGACTACGTTTACTCTCCCACCGATGTTGGAATCAATTCGTGCAGGGCCAGCTCCTCCAGAGGCAATTAGTGAATATTCCCAGCACTTCAGGGTATGTGGCTTTTGAACAAACTGCACTCCCTCCCTTTTAAGCACCATTAATCACACCAGGATTGTTGCTTTCATAAATACTGGCCAAGAGGCCGAAATTGAGTTGCTTGGCTGGTACCAAACCAACCCAAGGAAAACTCTACAAACAGCCCTGAAAGTGGACAATCCATTCAGCATAGAACTGAGTACTCCATCGCTGATCAGCTGCTTTTAAACTCACTTCTTTAGGAAAAAGCAAAACAAATTATTGGAGCCTGTTTTGCTTTGGAGGTTTACATTGGATGATTCACATCATAGGCTGGGTAAGTTAATATTTATTACTCATTCACATTTCATTATCAGACTGCTGTGTAATGAGAGGTAAAGAGAAAACTCATTTGAACAAATCACATTCACAAATAAACCACAGGATTACAAATGTGACCCTGTGTAACTCACATTTGATTAGATTTTTATATAGTAAACTGACATCTTTTTCTAAGTCTAAAACAGAATATGCAAAAAACATGTCATAACTGCAAAAACCCCATGATATAAAAAGCAGTAGTCCTTCCTACCTAGTATGAACTATAATTGCCTAAGTCTACATGATTCCTGGTCTCTATATGATTTTAATTATTAATCCATACAAGATTCTCAAAAATTAAAATATTGACTCTCAAAGGTCCTACTGCATGAAGCGGTCACATAAAGTAAAAAGCTGAAGTCTAGAGACAGGGTTCCAGCTTTGTCCCTCACTAGCTGGATGACCAGGTGAAGTCTCCCAACCTGGTCAGAACAAGGTTTCTCATCCAGAAAATGAAGGTTTGCCCTAGGTGATCTCAAAGGTCCCTTCCAGTTTTAAAATTCTGTGACTCTGATAGGTATATACATCTAAAGCAAGACATAAAAGACTACTTCAATGAACATCTTCCAAATGATCCAATAATCAATTTGATTCATTAATCATGCACTGAATCAAATGATTAGGAGATTAAAACAAAAGTTTGTATACAAATGAATTAAGTTCTCAGAATCCTTAAAACCAACTTCTTGACATTCAGGTGGACAGATCATCACTGTGAACCACAAAGTCAGGCAACCCTACTGGTGATGTGCTGCTGCCAAATTCTACTCAGTTTCCCAAACAGGCTCAGCCTCTTCCCTGTGAGAGTCACGTAATGAGTTTAGCAAGGCCACTGGCATGGTGGCACATCAGGGACTTACATTCTAAAACTCTTTTCAATAATTCTGTAGTTACTTAGGACCTAAAAATTTGATTCTACAATTTATCTTTATAGAAAAATACCAAAGACGGAAAAGTACTAAAGAACAGGCATTAAAAAAAAAATTTCATTTGTGATACTTTTCTTACTCTGCAAGCAAGCCCCAAATTCAGCTAATCTTTTAAGCTAGATTCTAGAAGGCCATTGTGTCTGGCTGAGAAGTGACCCTTGGCTACCTGGTAGAACCATCTGGGGGCCCAAGTGGCCTCCAGACCAATTAAATAAAAATGTCTAGGGTCAGGGCCCAGGCATCACTAATTTTAAAATATGCAGCTAAGGCTGAGAAATAATGCAAGTTAAAACCAGGCCCTCCTATCTAAAATGCAGGTATACTAGCGAAAGGCACTGGCATAGGGGGGCAAGATTTAAAAAGAAATCAGACTTCTCACAGAGAAACATCAGGAGTCGCTTCCCAAGAAAAGACACTCACTAGTCACAAGAGTGAATAGTTTAGAACGCGCGTAAAAACCAGCGGCATAAAACCAAGGACAGTGACACTGGGAAGCGCTCCTTCTCTGTGTTGTGCACAAGGCAAAGGCAGGCATTCCGTCTACTCACCTCCTGGCAACAAGTGCCTATCGCAAGGCTTTGCTTTCTCCTGCATCGTCACTCAGCAGCATTTCTATGTTTCACCAAGAGATTCTCACAGCCAGAGTTCTAGCTCCTTAAAACATAACTATTTGGCCCACCAACACAAATCCAAATCAAAACATCAACCCCATGTAAATTATAGTTCATGAGGATTTGACAACCTTTATATCATTTTATATGAAGTTTAGAAAGAACAAATAACTCCAAATTCTTCCGATTAAAATATTCATTACTCTTGACTAAGATTTCACCAACACTTAATCTCAACTAACAATCGACTTACATTTGGCCTTGAATTTTGTCAATTCCTGACTTGGGGAGGCACCGAAAAGCAGCCCTCCTTTTAAAGAAAGGGGGGAAGTAAAACCAACACCTTTCTGGATCTCTGTGACACTCCGAAAATAGAAGGATGATCTGCACACAAAATTAAACATATACAGAAAATGTCCACATAAATACCACACACCATATGCGCGATCAGATTCCTAATGGAGTATTTCTTTCTAGCCGTCAACCAGAAAGATCGACAAGCTCCTGCTTACTTGTCATTATGACCTGCTATTTATCTTGTTCACCTATTTGGGAAACCAAGCCACTGTGGGAAGCTTTGTCTTTCTGAAAGATTTCAGAAGTCAGGCGTGCCCTATCCAAACACGTGCCTGTCCAAAACTTCCTCTAACAAATGTTGATCACGAATTAACGCGTCACTGGAACAGATGGTTTGCATTGAAACCCTGGCCTCCTGACTCCAGGTTCCCGACACTTAAAACATGTGCCTTCTGGTCTCCTCACTCATCCTCCTCTTGCTCCTCGCTCAAATGCAGGCCACCCACCGAGTTCTGACTTCTCAGCATGGAAGGGGAGCTCAGCACTGCGGCGTTACCGAACACCAGGGGCTGCCTCCAAGAGCTCACCATTTCCGAGTCTGAATCGCTGGATTCAGTCCCACTGCTGGTGGAGCCCTCCGTCATCTGCAGGGGTGCCAGGTGGTCCGCCATGCCACTGGCATACCCCGGCTGCACCCCGGGGACCTGGGAGGCGGGACCCAGGAGAGGTGTCCCATTAGCCAGCATTCGACCTTCCGAACCAGCCAGGCTGGCCGGCTCTCCCTTCCCAGGGCCATCCAGCCTATCCAGGGCCTCTGGGACGGATGCCACCTGGCTCAGGATGAGTGGGTCTGTCTCTGACTTGTTGTATCTACTGGGAAGGTTGCGTAAGTATGGCCTCTGGGAGACGGGGGAACAGCTTTCATAACGAGGACCCCGGCTCGCGAGAGCATCTGCTCCCATCCTTCCCTCTCCGGGGTCGTGCCCGTTTTCGGAAACATAGCCTTGAGACCCAGTCCTGTCCCAACTCAGATTTGGACTTGAACTTCTGCTGCTGGGAGACAAAGGTGTGGCCAGGGGACTGCGGCTGCTGGAGCCCCTGAACATCTCATCTATCAGGGAGCTATGTCTTGGGAGTCTGGGGCTCCCACTCACATCAAAGGTGATGTCTGCTGAATCGTCATCCAGGAACTCTCTGGAAGGGGGCCGGGAGGACTTCACCGAGAGAGGGGAAGCCCTGCCCCTAGCTTCTACGCGCCTCTCATCCCCGGAGAGCAGATAAACACCACTGGTCAAATCACCCTCATAATTGTCATTTGTTTGGGACCGTGACTGGGACGTTTGCTCCCTGAGCAGATCGTATTCGCTATCTACATCACTGCAGTCAATGAAAGGAATAGAAGTGCTGCTGCCTCTAGCAGCCCTGGATGCTGGACCTGTGCTTGGCTGCGGGGGCTGAGGTTTACTCTGCTGGGTCCTATCCTTGGCGACCTCCTCCTCTTCCTCCGCCGCCACCTTCACGGCCCCATCGGCCCGCTTGTTACCCGCTGGGCTCTTCTGCAGCGCGGGGCTCTGGCGCGGCCCGCACTCCTCGGTGGAAACTTTCCGCTCCTTTGCTTGCTGGCAGCTCTGGCCTCCTGGGGATTCAGCACCTTCACCAGGAGTGAGGCTGGCCCTCTGCTGAGCCTGGCGGGGAGGATAGGAGTGAGGGGATCGAAGAGAAGAGGCAGATGGTTACATCAGAGCTGGGGAGAAAGAGATTCAGTCTCGCTTAATTGTACAGTGGGGCCTTGACTTACGAGTTTAATTCGTTCCGTGGCAGAGCTCGGAACTCAAATTACTCGTATGTCAAATCTTAAAGTGAACGAGTGAGACACGTGATGCTGGGCTGATGTTGTGGCGTTCACTGTGACGTTCGCTGCGCCAACTAGCGGTGGGGTATCTGAAGCTGGCTCGTAACCCGAATTTTAGCTCGCAACTCAAAGCAAAAAATCGGCCGAGAGACAGCTCGTATCTCGAAAAACTCGTTAGTCGGGACTCTCTAAGTCAAGGCCCCACTGTATCTTCATAAGCTTTGAGCAGCCCGCAAGTACTGCCAAATAAAGGCCGCCTCCAGGTGTTAGAACAGAGGTCTGACAAGCAGCGGGCACACCTGAGTGCCTTTGTCAGTATCCAGAAAGTTCTTTCAGGGTGTGGGAGCTGACAATGCGGGGTCCCCAGCAGCACAAGGTGGGCAGTGTCTCTGCTTTCTGGGACTCCCCAGTCCCAAATTCCCCGTGGAGAAAGGAGCCCCCCAGGCCATAGGGGTGTCTCGAGAAGTGAGATCCGGGACAGGAAGGAAACCCTTCGTGGACCCCAGGAGGGAGCTGACACGGATTTCAGACAAATGACAAAAAGCGTCTTTGTTTGTACTTCTAAGACTAGAATGAGCAGGTGGAGGGCTCTCTTTAGATCACACAATGAAATCTCCTTCTTGTTCTTTCCCAACAAAGTTCTTATTCTCCTGTAGAGAAAACCCTGAAAATCCACCCAGAGAGCAGCTCCAGGGAAAACGAGCTCTCACCGCCCTCAGAGCAAGAGCGACAAGGTCTCCTGCTGCCAACTGTGGGCACTGCCCTGTAACGCGAGCCCTGGGATCTCACCGCCCGGTCCAGTGCCAGCGAAAGGTTCTGACCTTGGCACCAAAGGGGACCTACACCCATCGGTTGCAAATCAGGTCCCCATCCCTGCACACAGCGTACCCGCCGGCTGGAGGGTGGGCTATGCTCTCCTGACTCCCGTGGAAGCCTCCACCCTGCGTGGGTTCAGGCCAACAGAGCGTCTCATGAAGAGAGAAGGGGTGGGAGGTGGGGAGTCAGCCGCAAAGGCACACTCCAGCCACAGAGCCCAGCCTGGGGGCGCAGTGCACGGAGCCTGTGTCCCCACGGTCAGGGCACACAGCCGGACTCTCCTCTAGGAGTCACCCCCACAGGTGAAGGATGAGGGGCTCGAAAGCATGCTACGAAACAGACCCCGGCGGGGGAAGTCTGTGAACGCGGAGCTCTAACAGTCTGCCACCAGTACTGACTTGTTTTGGCACTTCCGAATTCGGCTCCGTGGGCTGCATAGCAAGGCTTCGGATGGAGTGGATCTTGCTGTGTTTCCTTGGAGAAAAAACATAAGACAGCTCAAATTAGGCGAGGTGTGTGTTTGTGTGTGTGTGTGTGTGTGTGTGTGTGTGTGTGTGTGTGTATGTTTTCTTAATGAAAAATAACAGCATTAGGCACTTCCTCAAAAATGAAGGCACCCAAAGCAGTTGGTATAAATGCCCCCCTGGAAGCAGGCCCAGTCTCCTTTCCCATTAACTTTTTATTTTTTTTTATTTTAAAAATACGTTTTTATTGATTTCAGAGAGAAAGGGAGAAGGAGAGAGACATAGAAACATCAATGATGAGAATCATTGATCGGCTGCCTCGCGCACGCCCTCCTACTGGGGATCGAGCCCGCAACCGGGCATGTGCCCTTGGCTGGAATCGAACCAGGGACCCTTCAGTCCACAGACCGACACTCTATCCACTGAGCCAAACCAGCCAGGGCTCCCATTAACTCTTGTAGGTTCCCGAGATTACTTAAACCTTGAGAAAGTTCTCAGCAATCCCCTGCTCCCGTTTGAGGGGTACAGCCGGTTGGGGGCCCAGCAATGGGGCTCTAACTGTAGTTATGGGAAAAGTCACTGGGAGGGAGAAGTGGGGGAGGGTGCACATATGCTCTGAATGGCGAGCTATGGTCTAACAATACAAAATCGATTCCTGCTTTTGGGGTAATGATTTCCTAGATCAGTTCTATAACAGAGACAATGACCAGTCATCAGCTAACCCTTCCGCAGTGTTAAGTTCAGAGGAGAAGACCGGCCCTGAGAGTGAATTACAGACTCCACAGTCGAGGGAATTGGCTCTAATGCCACTGACACCTCTCCTCATCTGGTCCCTTCCTTCGTCTGCCCATCCCTTCCTCCCCCGTGAACAAGCATTAGGAACTTTCAGGTACTCAAATATGTGAAACTATAGAAACATAGAAACATGAAATTCCAATGTGCATCCAGCTTTCCTTCAAAATAATGCAAATTAATTCTGAATCAGAGAAAGAACTGGACCACTTCTTCTATGACCCTGAAAAGATGAATGGCAGATTGTCCAAGAAAAGTATGGGGCTTGTTCCTTCAAGGTGAGCATGCAAGTAACCCACTCAACATTACATTTCTGGGTCCGAGGAGGGAGAAACGGCCCAGACCTGCATCAGGAGAAATACACAAAGATGATCACAGCAGGTTTGCTTCAGCAAAAGCAAAACACCAAACAACCTGAATGTTTACCAACAGGGAATCAAGTAAATAAAAGGCAATACCCTCAAAACCAGAAAACACGTAAAGAGATCTCAAATCAGGGAAGTGTTTAAAAGATGCAGAATTATGCACAGTGTGATACCACTTATACAAAAAACAAAAACAAAAACAAAACAAAAAAAAACACATCCCAGAGCTATTCTATGTATTCTTTTTGGATGCACGCAGATGTGTAACAGAAGTAACATGAATTAGCCAGGTATTGCCTCTGGGGAGGGGAGAGGGAAATAAGAAGGTTGTTGGTAAGAAGGGCACACCTGTAACAACAGCTACAGGTGAAAGAAGACAAAGAACTCCAGAAACAGGTATGTTAAAATGTTAATTATAAGTAGTAAGAATATGGGTGTTTGCTGTATTCTATGGACTTTATTGTAATTTTTAAATGTAATAAAATGGAAAAAGCATGTACTGAACATTCCTGGGAGCACCATCACTCACACCTTGACCCTTGAGCCTTAGTCCCTCTGGGTTCTCTGCTCTCCCTCCCTGGGAGGCAGAGCAGCTCCGGGGCCAGCTGACCAGGGGCTGATGACCAGCTCAGAGACCGGGGCTAGTCCCTCAACCTCTTTGAGCTGTAATGTCTCCACCTCTACAAAGGGACTAAGACAGCATGGACCTCACAGCATGGGTATGAAGACTACGAGTTAATATATATAAAGAACTTGGAACATGGCCCGGGACAGCATAAGAGCAACAAACACGGGCTAACAACAGCAATAATAAATCCTGTTTCTTCTCCTCCAAACTTGACTTAATGAAAAAGTTCATAAAAATACTTTGAATTCAACCCTCCAAATATTTAAGGACTCACCAATGAGTAAGTATCCCCACCATAATGTCCGGTTCCTCTCCCCTCCCTCCCCTCTGCGGGCTTCTCCCTCTTCTTCCTCGCTGGTCCTCTCAGTCCGTTCTCTTCGCCTCTTCTTCCCCTGGAGGAAGCACCCTGGGCCCTCCCAGGAGCCTGCCTACCACGACCCTGGCCGAGGCGACTGTAACTCACCTTGCCCGGGTGCAGAGACATCTAGCAGCCATTGCACTGTTACCCGGAGAGAAGGACTGACTCCTCTGGTATCGAAGGAGCACGGAAGTTCCTCTTACCTTTCAAACTGCACTTTCTTATGTCCTCCTTCTTTAACATAGTCGAGAACCTGCTTCTGAGTCCGACCGCTGAAATGACGACCAGGAGAGGAGAGGGAAGACAGCAAGGCGTTCTCATTTAAGCACACAGCACACCACTCCACCACCTTACTCCCCTCCTCCCATATCGGGGAGGCTCATGGGCTTTCTCAGCTACACAGCAGTGAAAGCAGACTAAGGAAAACTATTCTGCCTCTGGATATTTCCCTTTAAATAATAATAATAATAATAATAATAATAAAAGGTTCAATGAACTAAACCACTTGATTCTATGTTTGGTTATTAGGCGAGCATCCTGCGTCTGTATGCTTTGTAAAGGCAGGGGTAATTCTGTTCTCCATATATCCCCAATGGCTAGAAGAGCACTTGACATGCAGCGGGCATTGGAAGTGTCAAAAGAAAGAGTGAAAAAGTGACCCGATGATGAGCAAGTCTAGGCAGCATTCTATGAAGCTGCATCAAATGTTAACAAGGCACTTGCTACAGAGAAAGGAAAAACTTTCTGAATTAGAGTCCCATTCAGAGTTTGCTGTGGCCAGGTAGACTGCCTCGCGCCTGATGTCAAACAGAACACAGCAAGGGTCTGCCACGGGGCCTGCTGGGATGACCGAGCAAACCCCCCACTGGCTCTCGGGGACTTTGACTTTGACCTTGTATACTCGCTGTGCTGCGATTGGCAACAGCACAAGGAAAGTCTTGGGGGGAAATGTTCGCATGACCAGCGGAGAGGTCTGAAGCCGAATCCTTACCTGAACCGAAATGATGACCCTCGACTAAACAGAACAGGCTTTGGCTTTGGTTTGGGCTCTTCAAAAAGTCTAAAAAACGCATGATGCTCCACACAGATTTTCCAGAAGGACTTGCAAAAATCCCGGCTGGCCATGAGGAACTCCAAGGTGTCCTGGTACGAGCTCTGAAAAGAGAAAATACCACTTTGGATTTTTCCATGACCCACAGACACTGGGTTGAAAAATGAGAGAAGGGGCAGAAAACAAATGAGCCCAGTAAAATTTCAGCCGTATATTTTATTATAGCATGACCATAAATTCACATATTTAGTAAAATATAGCTGCTCCTAATGATAATATAGTCATCATTCAACCATTTTCTTCCCCAAAGAATTCCTTAGAGAAACTAACAGAAACCAGGGGTACTCAGCAAAAATCGTAACATTTCTTTTGACAAAATTCATAAATAAATTGTGTGTACTTGGCTTACATTTCCTTCTTAAAAAAAAAAAAAATCCAAGTACTGAGATTCCTGTTTTGCCTTCATAAAATAACTGAAACACAATTTTTTTTTTGTTTTCCCCCTCATGATTCATGCCAACTTTCAACATTGGTCTTAAGTCTCTTCTCTACCCAAAAGCATATGGCTCGAGCCTCCAGGTGCCCCAGGGACCATAGAGGAAATGAACAGTTTTTTTTCTGGAGCACAGACGTATCGCTCAAGGCTGAAAAATGCATGTCCTTTGATTCTGGAAAGGGGATATGGCAATTTTCTATTCCCAGGCGGAATGCTCCCTATTTAAGTGGCCGTATTATATAAACAAAAGTTACCACAGTCCCTAACGTTCCCAGCAGTTCCAACTATGCGGGGGGAATCTCACAGTTCTGGGCAGTGCAGTCCCAACTTACAAACGAGTTGTGCTGTCATTTTTCATGGGTAATCAGCCTTATGGAACTCAAAATGCATTTTCCCATGGAAAACAACCTATAAATGGTGTCCGCTTCCGAGGTCAGGCCATAAAAGCCGATTTAATCCATACTGTAGCTGAACTATAGGCCTCCCCATCCATTTATAATCTTTTTTTCCATGGGAAAAAGCACTCCGAGGACCAGCTGGGGACATCAGAGGTATATTATCCATCTCCTCCAGCACCATTTCTGGCAGATGAAGGCGCTGTTTCTCCCTCTCTGACTCAGTCCCAGTGTAAGCGGCATCGGCAGTGTCTGTGGGACCTGGACCTGATTAGCCCATGAGAACACACTGTCTGAGGTTTGGGACAACAGCAGGGCCCCACGAGGTGGGGACTGCTGCTGTGTGGGCAGCGATGGGCCGGGGACACAGCAGAATGCTGACAGCGTCTCGGGTGGGCCAGAGGCTGGAGACACAGCCACGGCAGACCTCAGGTTGTCAGGAGGGGCTGCTGGTGTCTGCACAGGTAGGGACCCCCTCCACATCTGTGCCAGCTCTCCTTTACCTTCTGTCTCCTGACAGAGACAGCTGTGGCATTAGCAGGTATTTGAATGCATCTCTCTGTAGACACTCAGACACCTGAGTGGCTGTCGGCCAGTTTCAGCCTGTGCCCTCACCTGGTCCCCTCCATCCCAATCCCAAGGGCTCACAGGTCAGAGGGTCTCCCCCTCTTTCCCGGGAGCCACTTACATTCGCATCTGGGCGGAGCTTGATGAGAAAGCGCTTCCTCTTGAAGCTCAGCTTGCGAACCTTTGCCCAGTTGAAGGCATTGATCTTCGTGAAGCCCTAAGAAGAAAGGTATCAGCTAGTGAGCCAGGAAACGCATAATAAGCAACAGGAGAGTTGGTTGCGTTGGTTATGGGAGACTCCCAGGGGGGCTGATGCTGGATGGCTCGGGAAGAAAGCATTTCGCTGGAGAAGTCACAGAAGTGCAGCGGTGGGGTGATGCCGGTTCCTGGATCATGATTCCTCACTAATTACATGAGTTGGCATTCCAACTAAGTCTGCCTCCAGGGAGGAAAGAGGCTGGCCAAGGGAATGATAAAAAGGAAGATAAATAAAAATAAAAACCATGACAACCACCACAATAATTAGCCATCATTACTTACAGCGTGCCAGGCACTGGCCTGAGGACTTTACAGATCTTATCAAACCTTACACAAAACCCAATGAGGTGGCTTTCTTTTCTTTTTATAGATGTGGAATCGGCAGCACGGGTATTATTTTAATTTGGCCAAAATCACACCGTGAATGTGGCAGAATGAGATTCCCGAGCATGTGTCTCAGCCAGCAGTTGTAGTTCACATCCACAGACGCAATCACCCCTTTGTCCACCTGGCCTGGCTCCTGTGTCCACAGGCTTCCAACAGCACCACCAGGACCTGGGAGGGGAGGCCCCGCCTTCCGGAGAGGTCTCCGGGAAGGACTCACACACCCTCATCTTGGATGCGGCCATGTGGGACGCGGTGGAGAAATGGGGCAGTTGCCAGACACCAGCTCCCATCTGTCCTGTCATCTCAACTGAAAATAGAATTTCTCCATCTGAACACCAGGGCCATTTATTTAAGTTGGTTAAGAATGAAGCAATTAGGTGCTGACAAGCAGATGAATTCCAAGATACAGCCTTTGAACATGATTAAATTACCAAGTAAGTCTCAATATTTAGATTGCATCCAACACAATCAAAGCTAATTAATACAATTGTGAGGCACTTCTTTCCTCCCCCTCTATGATTTTTAGAAATGTTTACGGGTTTTAATTTTGAAATTAATGGTAGCGCTGAAAACTATACTTAGTTTATTGTCGTTTTCCTCATCAGGTGCTCCTAGATTATTTCTGCAGGTCCAAACTGCGAGGAGGAATCACCTCCTCACACACCACACTGCTCTCAACACGTCACTCCCTAGCATCCCATGTGAATCCCACCTGACCTTTTTTCTCAGGACACGGGTCTGTGGTCCTTAGGGTCCATCAGAAACATCTGATATAGGAGCAGAGGATTGTAGGCTATTTTGGTAAAATACGAAGGGGGAAATGTAACCAAACCTGGCAGAGCTCAAAAAAGTTGTAGGTCATGCACCCAGTTACACCTTCAAAACTGGATGACATCTGACCCTATTTCATGAGAAAGGCAGACACTTTCTCGACACCCATGTGAAATCAAAGCACAGATTACCTACTTGTGTTTAAAAGGAAAGCCTTGAGAAAATGGGGGAGGGGAGTTTGGTGAATATGTTCGTTGTCTTGATGTCATCGGTGGATTCACAGGATATACATATAGAAGAACTTACCAAAGGGCACTCTTTAGAGATGTGCATTTTATTGCATGTCAAGAATTATGTCAGTAAAGCTCTTAAGAGAAAGAGAAGCATCAATCGATAAAACAGTACATTAGCAGCGTGATCAGGAGAGCACACACCTCAGAGGGCAGACAAGTGTATGTTCTTAGGAAAACACAGGTAGGATCCACCCAAGGGCAGTATGCGTTTTGCTGCAAAATTACTGCAGTACAGACATGGCTTTCATCAACTTATGAAACTGCTCTAGCTTACAAGTGGATACTACACTTTCCAAGTTAGGTAAGTCTGAAATCAGAAAAAAGCTTATGCAAAACCCAAATTAGGTTTTCCAAAAAAAAAAAAGAAGAAAAAAGGATCACATGACTATCATGTGCAAGTGTGCAAAAGGTTATTGTGGCGTCTAAAATCTTGATCTCATTACACATGTTCCAAGCACAGGTCCACAGAGAGAGATAGATTTATGTGATCCTACAAAGTGAGCAAATGCAAACAAATCTATAACGGTAAATCCCCCCTCCCCCGCCCCAGAGCAAGGGCACGTGAAATGGGACCTGGAAGCTGAGTGGCTGGAAAGAAACAGAAGCCCTGAGATGAGGTTAGTTTTTCCCTGTTCGCCTGGAAATAACTGTCAGAGGTCTTCGCGTAGACCACACAGCATGGAACCAAAGTGGAAGGTCCAACCCTTATCTCTCATCACCAAGGGAACTGAGTGTGTTCTAAACGCTCTTACCTGAAACACTAGAATTCCTGTGTTCGCAACAGCCAGGTTGATCTTGGTACCTTCCCTGTCCTTCGCCGGGTGCAACCGGATCCCGTACATCTCCAGCTTCCGGGCGATCTCCAGGAGCTGGAAATCCGATTCTGCGGGTGTTTGTCCACTGACAAAACAAAAATTACAGAGAAAGGCCAGGAGATTTGAATTCCCTGTGTCTATTAATTTGAGATTAAGGAGCTTCTCTTGGGAAATAAAAAGGCATTTCATCACAAACAATGGGGCTACCCGATCAGATGACACCCAACCTCCCATTCATTATAACCCAAAGTCCAGCAGCTAGAACAAAAGCGCTATTGCTTGTGTAACACAAAACTCCAAAAGTCTATCTCAAGCTTGGGCCAATTTTTTTGAATCTCAAAGAGTTCCCTTTAAGGTCACATAAAAGCCAAACACCATCGTATTAAAACAAGTTTTTAGTCACTCACAATAGACCTAAACTTGCAAACAAAGTTCCAGGCACCATTCTCTCGTATTATCATCATCAGTACTCAAGTGCCCTCCTTAAAACAACAACACAAACAAAAGGCACAGAGACTCCTTTGAAAATGTTTTACTGCTCCAAACAAAAAACTAACGTGGAGATGGTACAAAGGTTCTAGATTTTCACAATATTCTCACTTTGTCCCTAGAATACCATGTCGCTTTCCCAATCTCCTATTAATTGGCCGTATACTCTCCCTTTTATTCCGAAGCATGGGTGTCCTAAAATTCCAGCATTACTCTGGTGTCACAATAAAAAAAAAAAAAAAGCCAGGAGGCCTGCAGTGCTGCTTTTGAGTGGGTAACCTGCATTTTAGAGAGTCCTGGGTGAGTCACGGCAATCCCATGAGCCTCTGGGCTCTTCTCCCTCACACTTTGCATATTTCTTTCCAACAGTCACGGTCTGTGTGTGTACCCATGTATGTGGGAAGGATGGAGAGAGACAGCTAAAAGAAAACGTAAAACAACGAATAGACTTACATGTGGTTATGGTGAAATTCCACAATTTTGTCTTCTAGTGCATCTTGCTGAGGTATGTACTTATTTTTTGCTAAGTGTTCTCTGTCCGATGCTTCATCAAAATCCCCAATCTCGGCTACAAAGAGACAGAGAAAGAAAATCCAGCCCATATGATTAATACTCCACAATTTGATCTATCCCCAGTGGAATACTCCCCAGCTAACACATCGGAAGCTAGCCGACAACAGTAGGCAATCCCAGCTGGTGGGTACCATCAGGGCTAGATGTCAGAAATATGGACGTGAGGACATATTTAACAACTGCTCCAACATAGAAAGATGGTTTCCACTCTTTCTCATCTCTAATAGCTGGAAAGAAAACTTCAGAATTATCCATCCTTAGCCATCCATGTTTCCTGGGGTTGGTTTCTTTCCTCCCCACACAACTAGGGGTTCCTTCTCTTCTAGGCAATAAGTCAAGGCATAGAGTTTATGACCCAAGACTTCTAAAGAAGCTCCCAAATTTCAGAATTTTATAAAATCAACTTTTGAACGTCTTATATATAACCATGATTAGTGAAAACCCCAAACATTTTATCATGTAGAAAAAAGACTATTGTAAATAGGTATAAAGGTATGGAATCTAATTTGGGTTTTTTAAAAAATAACTACTTGCTAAATTTCTTGTAGTCCTCTCATCAGATATGATTGATCAGCAGGCTGGCATGGCTCAGTGGTTGAGCGTCGACCTATGAACCAGGAGGTGATGGTTTGCTTCCCGGTCAGGGCACATGAACAGATTGTGGGCTCAATCCCCAGTGTAGGGCTTGCAGGAGGCAGTCAATCAATGATTCTCTCTCATCATTGATGTTTCTCTCTCTCTCTCTCCCTATACCTTCCTGTCTGAAATAAATAAAAATATATTTTAAAAAAGAGAAATGATTGGTCAGACTATAAAAGCTTGTAAATTTTTTATCTACAAGAAACAGGATGCATCTTCTCTCATGTAACCTCAACATAGTCCTCAGATTGCTGTAATCTGGATGGCTGTAACAGGATAGAGCTCTAAAATAATAATTGTACCTTACCAACAGCTCCACTCCATCTATACCAGTTTAACGCTTCTGGGACAGCCTGCCCTTTTCTTTGTTTCACGTACTCTGTCACAAGCTTAAGAAGCAGCAGCGTAATGACCAATGCCCAGCTGTTCCGAGTAAGAGCAAGTGAACTGTTGCTATGAAACCTACCGTCCACTTCGTCATGTGAAGCAGCTTGTCATACTTTAGCCAGTGCCCCTCCAGGACTCCTGCAGGATGTTGCCATAAACCTCACCCACTGGGAATATTTGCTCTGCCTAAAACAGTGCCAGCTCACCTTGCCTCCCCTGGAAGAATCAATCGCTCACTTCCTGCTGCGATGACAGATCAATAACACGATTTCTTAATTGCCTGTCCTAGACTTCGTTTCCCTCCCTGGGTAGAGTAAAGTTGCCACCCTCCCTCACAGAACATAGCGCAGTGATTGGTTCTTCATCAGCTTCTCTTACTTGATTCATAATAAATGAAAGAAAATTAAAAGTTATAAATATTAAGTGGCTATATAAGGCCAGTGACAAATGAAAAACTATAGACTGTCTGAAAGAAAACTCCATGAGTTCAAATAAAAGAGGAAAACTTTTTTACAAAATTCAGATTGTGTATATAGATACACCTGAGATGAACATACAGCTCACTCAATATAACTGTCCCATCAGCATTAATGTTGCTTTTGAAAAAGAGAGATGAGTCGACCCCTTGTACCTTACAGATAATGTAAATAACCAAAAATAATTTTTAAAAAATATATATTTGCATTGATTTCGGGGGGGGGGAGAAACAGCAATGATGAGGGAGAATCATTGATCAGCTGCCTTCTGCATGCCCCACACTGGGGATAGAGCCTGCAACCTGGGCATGTGCCCTGACTGGGAATTGAACTGTGACCTCCTGGTTCATAAGTCAATGCTCAACCACTGAACCACGTGGGTCGAGCCATCATCAATAACTTTAATCGACCTACTAGTCACAGAGCATTGTGAAATTTCTCCTTTTATGACTGAGTGCATGGGCTGCTTAAAAATGCAGAAATGGGACTTTAAAAATATAAGATGATAAAAATGCTGTGTGCCTCATTAGTGAACAAACAGTATGCAAACAGCAGGCATACTGTTGAATCTATCTCATTTTCTCTGGAGAAATCAAGATTCTCGGGGAGTTTTGAGCTTCTTGTTGGTTTCCCGAGTGCCGGTGAACCTCCACTTCCCATCTGTGCGAGTGAGATTTACTGTGTTGACTGACTTTACAAAGAAAGAAACATAGGAGGAGCAAACAGGCACAAGACTAAATGGCATCAGGAATAATAAAAGCCCAGGGTCATACACATTTTATAAAGTTACTATTCCAATAAGGAAGCTTCATTTAAAAATGTTCCATTGTTTGAAAAGGGAGGCTGCAGGTGAGTGCAGTAAAGAGAGTACGAATACCTAACATGGATTGGGCATTTGTGTTAGCATTTAATTTTCACAGCCTTATGAAAAAGTTTTATTATTTTCATGTTCCAAAAGAAATAAGAGGTGGAAATAAGAGGTTGGGGGCGGGGTGAAGTTTAGTAACATGCTGGGATCATCAATCAACTAACAGTGCCTGATTCAAACCCTCCTCTCCCCACTACCATATGAAGAGGGAAGACCAAACACAAAAGGCAAGAGCTTCTAGTACGTTACTTTCTGTGCCAAAGCTTCCTCATTTGTAAAAATGGAGATAATAATAGCACTGATCTCACAGAGCTGTTATGAGAACGAAATGAGATACTACACACAGTGCTGGAACATAGGAAGGTTTAATAAAGGATACCTATTTTTGTTGTTCTTCTTTCTCACATCAGTTTTTCAAATTGCTAAGAAAACATCTCTCTGCTAAGTCTGGTAGATATTAAATAATGCCCATATACCAAAAGGAAGAAAGAAAGGTAAGCATGGTCTATAGTAACACCTCATAATATTAGACTAAGGTAATTTGTTGACTACTAGGAATGATATTTCCTACAAACTTTTAGAAGTTTTATTAACTGGGCAGCTATCGAATGGGATGGGGCTGATTAAATGGAACTATTTTATATACAATGGAAATTTTAAAATGCTAGCACAATATTTTTTATACTGGTGTTTATGTATGTTGGCCTTGGTCTATATACATAGTTACCTTCCCAAAACACCAAGTGTATATTCCATTCAAGTAACTTCTGCCTTGGCCAAGAGGGAAAAAAATGCTCAGGTGGGCTGTCAGTAAGCCTCAGGATGAGCACAATCTAATTTTTCATCTAGGTTAAGAAAGTTAAAATATTGCATTTCAAGCCCTGGTAGGTTTGGCTCAGTGGTTAGAATGTTGACCTGTGGACCGAAGGGTGTGGGTTCAATTTCCAAAGGCACATACTTTGGTTGTGGTTCCATCCCCAGCCCTGGTCAATGCTTCTCCAATGCTTCTCCTTCTCTCTCTCTCTCTCTCGCTCTCGCTCTCGCTCTATCTCTGTCTCTCCTCCCCCAACCTCCCTTCCACCCTGTAAAAATCAATGGAAAAATGACCTCTAGTGCGGATCTTATTTATTTTTTTAAAATTTCTTTTTTAAAACATATTTTTATTGATTTCAGAGAGGAATGGAGAGGTAGCGAGAGATAGAAACATCAATGATGAGAGAATCATTGATCAGCTGCCTCCTGCACATCCCCTATCGGGGATCGAGCCCACACTTGGACATGTGCCCTGGACCGGAATTGAACCTGGGACCTTTCAGTCCACAGGCTGATGCTCTATCCACTGTGCCAAAATGGCTAGGACTCTAGTACAGATTTTTTTAAAAGTATCACTAGATCCAGCCCAGCTTCATGTGTTCTGAACTCTAGAGAGCAGAATACAAGTGAAGTCTTTGACAGTTTTATGTCTTGCGTCCCAGGTGATGATAAAGGACAGAACAAGTTTAGTCTACTTGGCCCCCGTCCCTCTAAGCTTCTCCTTTGAGACAAGTGAGACGTCAACCATTGCACTGGGCCTTGAAAAGGGTAGATAAACGGCAGAACACAGAACTCCTGGGTCAATGTTTGGGGGACACGCATATTAAATGAAATTAGAAGTACTGTTTTCCACTCACTCGCACGCAGGCTAACAGCAAAAGAACATGAAGACATTATTATTGTTGTTAGTGGAGCTGATTTCCTTTCCAATCAGATCACTGTGTTATTTCCAACATGATTTCTAAAGGAAACCGACAGCACTTACATTGTACAATGTGTGAGATCAAGAGGGCAGCGCTGGTGTCATTACACGTCAGCCTGCCCTGAGCCAGGTCCTGCTTCACTTGCAGAGCAAACAGGTACCTGCAAACAGAGAGAGGGGCGTCATAAACACAGAGATGAGCTATGGAGGGCGGGGAAGGTCGGCATCTAAGTCATGCTCACCCCGGCAACCTGTCCGCACCGTGAGCAACTAAAAAAAAGGTACCAAAAAACAAGGAAAAGAAAATCCGCAAGGCTGAAATTAATTTCTGAGGCCTCTGACTGCAGCGTAAATACTCACAGTTCCCTGAAGGACTGGGAGACACGTGCTGTAATCTTTCCACGCAGTGAGTAATACGTTTCATTTTATATGGAGAGAAGCAGTGGTTAAATATACGACGATTACTTACCACCCTATATATTTTTGCAAGGTAAAGTAAACAATTAACTTTTTTTCACAGAACAATATGCTAAAAATGGCTTTATGGCTCAGACAATAACAATAGTTCATTATGGTTAGTTAAAAGCTTTGCAACAGGAAATGGGAAGACAAGGGTATCTTTTTTTGGTGCAATATTCACTTAGCCACTTCCATAAGTTTCAGCTCTCAGGTGTATAAAAAAATCAATTTATTTTGAAATTCTTTTCTTTATATTGTAGGATAAAGCAAGTAAACACTTTTGGCAAAAGAGAAAAGAGGTATTTATAAAGCAACGAAATTATGGGGAAGCAGTCAATGTTAAAATTGATTTGAAAATATCAGTATGAACTCATACATTTTTAGAAAAGACATTTAGTAGTTTTGCCCACTGCCTAGAAACAGTGTCATCTCAGAAGAAACTCTTACCAAACAAACCAGATTCTGGCTCCCACCCAATTACCCCTTGGAAGGACACAGAGAAATGCAGATTCCAGGTTGCGGTTTGGGAAGGTGCAAAATGAGTCTGGAATATCTAGCTATGCCAGAAAGCAAGGCAGCTTCCCAAAACAAATGGGTTGCATTGAAGGGGCATCCACTGGCCAAAGTGGCAACAGCTTGAGTAGCAACAAGAATGATTAAAGTGAATGGAAAGTTCAAGATTTCATATAACGATACTAAAAAAAGAAAGAGAAAACAGGAAAAACAGAATGTGTCACCAATTTGAGAAGACTGTTATAGCAATTCTTTATTCAAAAATTGGTAACCCATGACCAAGACAGTGGTCATGTAATCTGTCTCTCCCATAGGAAGGGTACTTGGACTATGTCCAGTTAGTCCAAGTAGGTGAGGCAAAGTTTTATCTTACAGAAGAATGCTAACTAATGGTGCAGCAGGAATAACAGAATGAGAAGATCCCCATTCTACCACCTCTAAAGAAAGTATTGACTCTAAGAAGGACTGTTAATTGGTGTAAAAACCACTTAGGAAACTGGACTTTTGCATAGACAAAGCAACATGCACCTTACTTCATAATGGAAAGATCAGAATGCCACCACTCTAGTGATCCATCTTAGCATCATTAATGATATAGGAAGCACACAACATTACTTATGATGAATTCTAGCCAAAAATGTTTAACTTGTATCTGTCAAGGCTTTAGAACTACCAGTTTTCAGGAAATATGGAAGCTAGAGCAGTGGTTCTCAACCTTCTGGCCCTTTAAATACAGTTCCTCATGTTGTGACCCAACCATAAAATTATTTTCGTTGCTACTTCATAACTGTAATGTTGCTACTGTTATGAATCGTAATGTAAATATCTGATAAGCAGGATGGTCTTAGGCAACCCCTGTGAAAGGGTCGTTCGACTGCCAAAGGGGTCGCGACTCACAGGTTGAGAACCGCTGGGCTAGAGGAATAAGCTAAAAAGTACAAGAGCTAAGATATTCTGTTGTACAACTGGCCCAGTTTCTCTACCAAGATCGTATCGTGAGGTCCAAGGACATGATAACCAGACGCAATGTGTGGTCCTTCAGTGAATTTCATTTAGAATAAGCATGTATGAATGGCATGGGGGCGGGGGGAGGCAAATGGGGAAATCTGAGTATGGCCAGGGTATTAGATGAGATGAAAAGTACATGCATATGCATAGGGAAAAAATCAGAAAGGATGTCACATTGATGTGTTAATAGTAATCTCTGGGCAATAGGAATACAGTATTTTTATCTTCTTAGTCTTGTTTATCTGTATATTCTAACTTTCTACACTGTACATTACTTTTGTAATAACGAAACTTTATGTTTAATTTTGTTAAAAAAGGCTTTAACAAGAACAACCACAGGTTGCCATCAAATGCAATAATACATGGAAACCACAGTGACTAAAATAAAAAGTCAATGAATGTTAGCAACTTTTTTAAGAAAACAAAACTAATCTTCTTTAAGTCATTTAAAAAGTTCCATTATTAAGAACTAAAAAACAAGGCGCAATTCTGTAACCATCAAAAACAGAACAAAAGCTGAAAACAAAACTAAATCACTCATATATCTGCCAATTAATTGTGTTTTCTCTGTTCTCTTCCCCCCGCGCCCCAACCCCACCCCCTCTTCTCTCAGGGAAGTCCAAGGGAAGAAGGGCAGAGAATATAAAATAACAAACATCAACATACAGGCTTATATGAGGAGAGGCAATATAGACCATCTTTCTGCATTAGGTAGTGGTTATTGTCTTTTGAACCCAACACTTCTTAGAGCTACAGGCTTTAATTCTGGCCTATATGGTCAATTTTAAAATAAGCAGGAGGGCCTTATGTTTTACAAACATTACATTCGGAACATTTTAGCACCTCAAATTCCAGCATGGGGTCCTGTGCTCACAGGGAGGGATTCAGAGTGTGACGGGCTTCAGGGGCCTTTGGGGACAGTCTCTGTGGGCTCGAGGTGGCAGTGGGTCTGAAAGATCACACACTTAGTTAGAGGGCAGTGTCATGATGAAGACTGCAGGAAGGACTTGTCACCCTAAGTATGCGGACCTTTCTGTCCCAGGGCCCTGGTAATACGAGAAAGACTTTCCTGGGTACTGATTTCCGGATGACAGTTGTAAGTCGAGCACGCTGGCTGCAATCTAACTTTAGAGATTCGGCAACAACTATAATCTGAAGAGATTCCAACCAAATTCATGAGCTAAAGGCTAAGGTGTACTCAGTAGGCACTAAATAAAATTAAACCGCCAAACACAAGGAAAATGCTCAAAGCACTCAAAAGGGCCCAGCTGGTGTGGCTCAGTGGTTGAGCTTTGACCTATGAACCAGGAGGCCACAGTTTGATTCCAGATCAGGGCACATGCCCAAGTTGCGAGCTTGATCCCCAGGGTGGCGCATGCAGGAAGCAGCCAATCCACGATTCTCTCTCATCATTGATGTTTCTCTCTCTCCCTCCCTCTCTGAAATCAATAAAAATATATTTTTTTAAAAAGCACTCAAAAGGAAATGGACTGGCTTTAGGATGGGAGGAGGAAGGACATGACAGTGGGAGAACTAGTCAAGAAGGGCTTTGCTTCCTGGGACTGGAAATCACACCCACCGGATGCCTGCTTTTTTTTATTTTTATTTAAATATATTTTTATTGATTTCAGAGAGGGAGAGGGAGAGACAGAAACATCAATGAAGAGAGAGAATCACCGATTGCCTGCACGCCTCCTACTGGGGATCAAGCCCACAACCGGGGCATGTGCCCTTGACTGGAATCAAATCCGGGACCCTCCAGTTTGCAGGCCGACACTCTATCCATTGAGCCAAACCAGCTAGGGCAGGATGCCTGGTTTTACACATGTCCATTTCCATTTATTTCATTTGGGAGGTCTGATTCTTTTTCCTCCTCAGTGTCATGTCCAATTTCTCTGCCAGCCTAAGAAACACCCTTCAGCAGACCTTGCACAGCAGCAAGTTCCGATAGGGTCTCTCACCATTAGATCTGATTGACGATGGGATGCCCAGTGAGAAGTGTGCCTAAACTCATTAGCATCAGAAAAGTGACTCAGAGCTCTGCAGTAAGGAAGCCTGGCGACTTATTTTCCAAAGAGCTCACTCTAGCTTTTAAAACTATACCTAAAAGTCGGTGACTTTCTCCTTTTGTCCATAGGACAGGGTTTTACCACAAGTGCAGTCCGATAATTAGACAGGTACTCAGCTTCCTGTTTAACCACCAAGTGCAATGTTATCTTCCATCTATATTAGTGGGGAGCAGAAAACTGCTCCTGGAAGCCTGAAGAATTAGCCACGGGGCTAGAGTCACTTAGAGTCCGCCAAACTATACAGTCTGCAGGCCCGTCTCTGTCTCTCTTTTCCACACATCCCTCGTCTAAATTAGCACTGTCCACGCAGACCTTCTCCTAAGCCCCTCCTCACCGCCATCTGCTACAGAAAAGTCCCTGGAATCTCAATGGTTACATCATTCCACTTTTGCTTACACGGGACACTGAGAGTGTGGCAGTCAGCATATTGGATCTGGGAGGTCCTCTTCTAGTTATACCTCGTGACAAAGTGGAGAAAGTGATGAGGAGCTTCTAGGTTTCATAGCAATTTTATTCACCCTTGAACCCAAAGAATTCTCTCTTCAGGAAAGATTTTTAAATACTCAAACCCTCTGCATCCAGCTGAGCTGTGTCACGTGCTCTGCATCCAGCTGAGCTGTGTCACGTGGGGGAGTTGCCAGATCGGCCACAGCAGCTGGCAAGACACCGGGCGCACTGGGCCCGAGGGTAACGAGTTGCATGGGATTTTATAACAAGGACCAGAATGGAAGAAAACTACAAACCTCTAAAGGCAATGAGTCATAAAAATGGAAAAGGTGCAAAACTCATTGCAAAGTAGAACGGGGAGGAAAAGTGGGGAAAATGGATTTATGCTGCCAAGTTCCTAAGCAGGATAGAGCCCCAGTGGGACGCGAGAGGAAAATCCACACGGCTGACCAATAGCTGGACTCGCCCGCAGACTTATTTCAATATTCTGAGCTTGGAGCAATGCATGTTCCCACGACAGGAAGGCTGGCCCCAGAAACGGAGACACAGTAGCCCCAATAATGACACATGAACACTTGTCGTCGGCCCCTCTGTCTTGTGCAGTTGGGTGTAGTAGCTCCAGCTGCCCCTCTGCTTCAGCGTTCTGGCAAACTGCACAGTTCCCAGAGGCCGACAGCTTCTGCAGTTCCCAGCCGCCTCTAACCGCTTCATCGATGGAGGATTGTAAGTGGAGGCAAACAAGCAGTGGTGACTCATTCAGAAACACAACGCCTTCACCTCTCGCTGGAATCCATGCACCCAATGCCCTTCCTGACGCATCCACGTGATGTCGAGTAGGTGTCTCAAACACAGCCTTGCAGAAGCAAGCTCCTGACTCCCTTCGCTCCCAATCCTCTATTTCCCTCCACCCATTCCATTTATTCATCACCAACACCCAGCCAGTTGCTTCAGTCAAATCTAAGCGTTCTCTCTCCTCCCCTCAGTCTCCATCCCCAACACATCACCCAGTTGGATGGACCCCACCCACCTCCAGCAAGTACTGCAAATGCAGCCACACATCTCCATTTCCACTCCTACCGCCTCCTCTGCCGCCACCATCTCAGGCTGGATGATGGCAATCGCTTCCTCACTGGATTCCCTGCTGTCATCCTCCCCACAACATCCACATGGCAACTAGTCTTTCAACAGTAAGGACATTCGGGCCTCTGTCCCACCTCAGTGCACTTCGCTCTCACCGTTCCTGCCATGCAGAGCATGTTTTTGATTGACACCTGTCACTTGTTCCTGCCTTGGGCACTGCCTACTTGGAAGGTCTCCCCCTGAAAATGACTGACAGATCCTCGTTATTTCCTCAGAGAGGCAGCCCAGACTAACCAATCTAAAATCATCACCCAGTCACCTTCTCTGCCATCATCCTACTCAATGACCTAAATCAGGGGTCCTCAAACTACGGCCCGCGGGCCACATGCAAATACAAATACTGTATTTGTTCCCGTTTTGTTTTTTTACTTCAAAATAAGATATGTGCAGTGTGCATAGGAATTTGTTCATAGTTTTTTTTTAAACTATAGTCCGGCCCTCCAACGGTCTGAGGGACAGTGAACTGGCCCCGTGTTTAAAAAGTTTGAGGACCCCTGACCTAAATAAAGAGCCCTACCATTATCTGATTTTGTTTGTTTGTTTATTTAATAGATTTGTCTGTTCCCATCAGAGGCAGACTTGTTTTTTTATCACTATATCCCCAGTGCCTAGAGCAATGCTTGCACACAGTGTACACACTTCATAAATCCTTTTGACTGGATATCTTCATCCCTTTCTTAAATGATGGTCAGCCACCCAAGATATCGTGCTCTGTATCCGGGATGAGAGGATGAGAAAGGTGCCATCGCTTTGGTCTGGAACAGTTATGTCTTAAAAGGCAGTGTGGCAAGAATTTGGCTGGTCAGACTAGTGTACCCAAAGGGAGGATACTGAAAAGGGAGGCATTTTATCTTCACGTGTTCCCACTGGGCTCTGACCTCCTCTAGAAACCCACGTGTTCGCCACAAATTATAAAGGAAGTGGTAGTACTGATGATGATGACAATCATGGTGATGGTGATGGTTACCATTCATGGCGTCCCCCCTGGGTTCCAGCCATTCGATGTGTAATAATGCTTATCCCCCAAACAACCACAGCCAGGCCAGCCGTACAGTCACACGGACACAGAGGAACTGAGACAGGTGCAGAGGGACCAAGTAACTGGCCAGTCACGCAGCTATCAAAGGCAGGACTGACACCCGAGCCAGGCCCGGCCGAGGTTCACGCTTCTCCCACTTGGCCAAGCTGCCGAAGAAACTGACCACAGTTCCTGTCCACCCACCCAGGACAGCAATGAAGAGAAACTCTGAGGTAACATCTTGACTTCCCAGGAGGGACTCACTTTCCCAAACCATCTGATGATAACATAGATAAAGAGGGAAACTATGGCAGTAACAAGGAAAGTCTGATCCCCTTCTCATATCACAGCCTTGAAGAAACAAGACTTCATCACTTCTTGGCCTTTTGGCTAAGATCAAGGGTAGAAACCAGGCTTTAGGGAAAACGTGGTACTTGCCTGCCCCCGTGTTTGTAAGCATAACTGGAAGGTGGGGGGGGGGGGATTAAACTGTTAAGCACAGAGTGGATGCTGGTTACGTAGACTTGGAGAAAATGTTAATCAAATGGACTCAGAACATTAACTTTCGCTTCTCCTTGGCACCCCATTGCAATAAACAGCCAACCACTAACCTTGTGAGTTCTTCTTGGAGTTGCGTGTGGTCAGGTGGAAAGAATTTCACCACAAACCTAACAACAACATGCTTTGGCCCTAAAGAAGGAGAAAAAAAAGCAGTTATTGATTTTCGTTTCAAATGCAATTAAAGAAAAGATTTTCTGAGGTATATTATATACCAAATAATGAGACTCATTCCAAGTAGCCAAGAGTACACCCCAGACACTGAACAACTAAATCACAGTTACTGAATCACACTTTCACACTGTGGAGAAACAAATATCTGTTTTGTGTGTGTTTTTGTTATTGTTTTTTTCTTTTTAACGTTTTTGTTTAAATTGATTTTTAGAGAGAGAGGAAGGGGGAAGGGAGGGGAGGGAGAGAGAGAGAGAGAGAGAGAGAGAGAGAGAGAGAGAGAGGGAGAGAGAGAAACATCGATGAGAGAGAAACATCATTGACTGGCTGCATCCTGCACACCCCATACTGGGGATTGAGCTGGAAACTCGGGCATGTGTCCTGACTGGGAATTGAACCGGTGACCTCTTGGTTCCTGGGTTGACACTCAACCACTGAGCCACACCAGCTGGACTTGTGTTGTTGTTTTTAAACTGTGACAAAGGTATCACATGGAGGTATTAGACTTTTTCTCTGGAGACTTCAATTGTACCCAGGTTTGAAAGGCATTTTTCTCTTTTAAAAAATGTGCCTAATTAGCTGGTTTTGTCCAAGTACAAGTTTTAGATCATTTTAAAAGGAGATAATGAAAATGTAAATTAGTCATGTAATTTATTATTTTTAACTATCTACAAGGTACAGCTGTTAATGTGTTCATCAAATATGTATGTAGACCTATATGCCAGATGCTCTCCTGAGTGCGGAGAGAAACCTCAACAAGACCAGGCCCTGCCCCGCCACAGTCAGCCCACGCCTTCTAAGTGCCTTATAAACCATTTATCGATGAGTTCAGACAAAATTAGGAAGCAGATCTGGAAGGGGTAGTAAGGGAGAGATGGTGAAGGAGAAGAATACATTCTGTTTTTAGAATTAAAACAGAACAAACAGGTTATAAACTAAAAGAATAATTTGTAATCTGAGACTGTCTGATGTATCAGCTACAATACAAGGGCAATCTTATGGGTTCTGCCGTTTGGAATGACAGCAACGAGTTTATGTTCTATGAAATATAAGACACTATAACGAAATCCCAATTTTAACAGTTCTCATGTTTGCTCTACCTCCCGCTATCACAAAGACAGATGTTGTATCATAATTTCTATGCTAACACATTCAAATTTAGGAAAGATACAAAAATAGCACATCATAAGGCGAAGATGTCACCAATATACAAAAAATGAGGAGGAAGAAAACAAGGCACAGAAATACCGAAGCCAAGAGAAACTGGGATTTTCCTTAATCACCTAAACATTAACAAAAACCCTGGCATGTCAATTCTGGGTCACAAAATAACAATGAAAAATGGGGAAGATGGGGAGGCCACGCTGTTTCCTCTCAGTTACTTTCACAGACAAGGGTGTTAAAGGAGGGGGCTCAGACCCTTAGAGAGCCTGACGTGAAGCAGATGCTGGCACTCAGTAAAAAGGACTGCTCTTCACACACGGCTAGTCACAGCCCACGGGGTGAACAGGCGCCCAGTGCTGGCCCTGTCCTCACATTTGCTAATGTGCTAGGAGAGTCCCCTCCACCATTAGTAGTTCCGCCACCAGTCGTTGCAGGGACAAATGTCATCATTCTAGACTCTGTGCTACCCGCACCCACCAGGCCTGGGGGCTTCTCTCTGTAATGTGTCTCCCATTTGATCACTGGCCAACCACCCATAAACATTAAACAAACAATGGCGGTTTCATTGTCGGCATCAATAATTGCTTAATTTAAATGACAGCTCAACATCAATTTCAACTGCGTAAGGGCTGTACAGGCACTGTGTGTCCATTTATTACATCCACATAAACTGCTGTAAGTGGCCCGGTGGGGTTTCTTAATGAGACAGAAAAGCAATCCCACGAGGTATTGTGTGCTGCGGGCTCAGCTAAAGAAATGGAGCTTTGTTACCATCCCCAGACTCTGCCCAGTCTCTGGCTGCAGTGAGGAACTATTTGGAGTGACTTTGAGAACACAGCTTCGCTCTGAACTTGACCTTGAAGCAGCAAGAAAGGAGGCAGGTCCAGTGCCGAGGCATGATGGGAAGGGAGAGAAAAACCAAGTGTTCTCTTTCCGTCCTCCTCTCCTAGACCCTCTTTAATCTCTTCTCCAGCACAGGGTAAACGCAAGCCAGGCTCCCTCCAGCACTGTTTGCCATTCAGAAATTCAGAAGCACACACACAAGCTTGCATCCTGACTTCACAGGCTTTGAAGAGGCAGGACAGAAAACCTTACACCAATTTATGAATAAATGGTTCCACCTTCCCCTCCCCTGCAAAAGTGACAATAAGAAATCCTCGTTCAGACAAGGCAACTCTATTATTTGGGGGCTTAGTAGCATGGTTTAGTTGTTAATCAAAACCATATTTGATTTTCCAAGCAAAATTTTGATTACCAAACCGTTACATATTAAAATTGCAGAACATACATTTTAATAGTACATGAATTCGTGGATGATGAAAAGCAATTATGGGGTAAAATAAAAATCTGTATCACTAAGTGCTTGACGCCACAGGACGGCCGACGTCTAGACGAGGAAACTGGCTCGATGTTTAACAAAACTGTTACACAGACGGTGTATACTTACTTCTAATCTGCTTGACAATAGGTTTTAAGAGGTCCAGCCACACCTACAAAAGGAAAAAAGAACAGACTGAGACACAAATTCTCAATGAACGAGTGTATTTTGAGCCTTTACTTGGAACTGTTTAAAATAAAGTTTTTGTGTACTGGTGTACTGGAGGCGGTCCCTCTTTTCTCCAGAATTCCATATCTGACATCATCTACCACTTTCACAGGACAGATCCGAATTTGCTAACATTATCCCTAAGCTTCAAAATTAACACCTCTCCTAGACTCAGTAAACTAAAAATTTTTCTACTCTCACTTGTACTTTGGTCACAGTTAGCTGAGTCAGCAAATATTAATGCATGATTGCATGTCTGGCTACAAGCCGAGTGAAACAGGCATGCTCCTTAGTGAAACAAAACACGTGTGTGCGCGTATGAACGGATCGGAAAGGGAATGGCTATCTATAGAATACCGCCTGGGCACCAGACGCTATCCAGAAGCTATGTACCTCTAAGAACAAGGCCAGAAGGATTCCTGTTACCCAGGAGAGAAACCTGAGACGTGGAGAGGTTCAATAACTTGTCCCGGTCTCTCAGATCTACAGTGGCAGAGCCAGGACTGAAAGAGGCCTGTCCAACTTCAAAGCCCAGACTCTTTTCACACGTACTCGCCTTGGCATGCAGTTTGAGTGGCAAAATTCTTGAGAGACTGAGAACAGAGGGAGAGAGAGAGCGAGAGAGCAAGAGAGACCAGCTGCCCTTATTAATAAAGTATGTTAACCATATTATCCCATTTCACACGTGTTTTTCTTTAAACTCGCCTGGAATTTGTGGCCATTTGAAAAGGGTTCTATGGAGGCTCATATTGACATATATGACAAAAACAAGGTTAATGTGCTTAATGTGAAGATGGTTTTATAAGTAAACTAGAGGCCCAATGCACGATATTTGTGCAAGAGTAGGCCTTCCTTTCCCCGGCTGCCAGCACTGGCTTCCCTTTGGCACCTGGGACCCGGGCTTTCCTTGCAACCCCAGCTTCGTCCGGAAGGTCATCCGGAAGGACGTCTGGTCTAATTAGCATATTACGTTTTTATTATTATAGATAGAAGATATGAGAACATTACAAAACTTTGCCAAGAACAACAGGTAATTGATGAAGAAAATATGACAATGGCTAAGGAGAAAATGTTCAAATTCAGGAGTAATTTTCACTGCAAATGCAAATTTAAATAACCATATACCATTTCCACCCATTAAACTTGCATCTAGATATGTCTGTATGTGCATGGTGCTTGTAGTTTATAACACCCCAGGGTGCAGGGAGACGCACACTGTCTTACTCTATTGGTGGATGTATGAATCAGTACAACGTTTCTGGAGACTAATTAGGGAATAATTATCTAGAGGCTAAAAAGTATTCTTACACATGCTCTTTCACCCAGTAATTCAACTTTGGGAAATTATGCACAAAAAGATTTATGTACAATGAATGCTAATAGCATTTTTACAACTATCAAAAATCTTACAATAACCTAAACACATAAGTAAAATGGTCTACGTCTATATAACATTACCATGCAGGAATTAAAAATGATGTTCTTGACAAATACTTATGCATGTGGGAAAATGTGTTTTGGAGGTTAAAAGATGGGTGAGTCTTGTCTACCTCTTAACTGCCTTTTGTATTATCCAAATTACCTTAAATAATCACTAAGAATTCTCATAAGGAAAATAACTAAAAATTTTAAGTTCCCACCTATTCACATTAAACTTCCCCACCACTTTTTCAAATAAATAATATTTTATAATGAAACTCATTTCTGTATTCCTCAGCCTCTATCACTATCCTATAAGAGAAAAAAATAGTGGCATTAGTTGATTTAGGATCATCTCCACTGTCAGACCCATAAACCTCAACCTTAATGAAAGAGAATCATCATTCAAAACAGCAATTATCATTTGCAAGACATATTATTTTCTTCCTAAGAATCCTAAAAGATGAATGAGGTGACAAATGTATCTTCCTTTGATAAGAAAACAGATTCAGAGAACAGACGCCCAAAGTTGGAACTTAAACCCTGTTCTTCAAACTCATTTATTAATTCAACAAAATTGTACTGTGTCCCTATGCTAGGCTTTGGGGAATGGTGAGAAAGCCAATCATGGTCCTTACTTCATGGAGCTTACGGACTAGTGAGGCAGCAGGCGGAAATCAAAAAGCCTTCCCAACAAAAATGGAGAACCCGAGACAAATGAATGAGAAGTGAAGGGGAGTCCCCGAGGACTCACCGTGTCTGGGACAGGGAATTTGACCCAGTCATGGGAGAAGCAGCGGTAGAGGGACTGTTTAGGAAACATGCCCCTGAACGTGACACTGTGCTGAGAGCTGCAGGGGAAGAGAGTAAGGAGAACAGATGGACACACGCAGTAAAAACACTTGTCTCGATGCCTGAGGTGCAAGGAAACCGACGTGGCTACGGAGCAAGGCTGGAGGGTCAGGAAGGGGCCAGACCCCACAGAAGCCACGTCAAGATTCGTCATCCTTATCCTAAGAACAAGGCAAAGGGTTTGAGCATGGGGCTGATCCAATCTGACGTGAACGTTAAAAACATCAGTCTGGCAGTGTGAGAACAGACAGGGGGAGCCAGAACAGGTTCAGGCTGATCTGTTGCAATTGTCCAGGCAAGAGAGGATGGTATTTGGACCGGGGGGTGGGGGGGGCCGCGGTGCGGTGCAGAAGTAGAGCTTGGAGAAAGTCGGGGGTGGGGGATTTAAGATAAATTTAAAAGGTAAAATCCAATGGGATTTACTAATGGACTGGATATGGTAGCTGAGGAAGGGGACAATGACCAGAATGACACCAAGATTTCTGCTGTCGGACCCATAAACCGCAACCTTAATGCCCTTGAATTTCATGAGGAAGAGACAGTGTGGAAATGGTGGGACCCACTGGTCCAGAGCTCAGAGGAGGCCTGGGCAGGATATCTCCATTCAGAAGCCGCCACCACCTGACTCCATGGAGGATAAGGTCGCCTCATAGAGTCCAGAGGATGGAACCCATGAGCACTGAGGATGCCTCCACCACAGAACAGCCAGGTGAAGCACGTGAGGGGGGAAAGAAAGTAAGAAGAGAGTCATGGAAGCCATGGGAAGGTGGTGTTTCCAGAGGCCGAATATCAAGAACTGTGAAAGGTAAAATAAGATGACAACTAGAATATCTGATGGTCAGCTGACTCAGTGATGGGTCAGGAAGTATGGTGGGCGGTGAAGAGGCAGGAAGGATGAAGGGCTTTTCCTTAAAAAAAAAAACTTTTTTCAATTACAGTTTACTTCCAATATTATTTTGTATTGATTTCAGGTGTACAGTATAGTGGTTAGACAATCATATACTTTATAAAGTGTTCCCTCGATATTTCCAGTACCCACCTGGCACCACACACAGTTATTGCAATATTATTGACTACAGTCCCTATGCTGTACTCTACACCCCCGTGACTATTTTGTAACTATCAATCTGTACTACTTAACCGATGAACGGCTTTTTAAGAAGCTCAGCTATGAAGGAGGAGGAAGACAAGAGAGCAGGAGTACAGGGGGTAAAAAAAAATCAAAATAAGGGCATTGTTTATCTGCTTGTTTTGAAGGCCCTGGGTCCTTTAAAAAAAGGGGGAGGGATTGAGACTATGAGCAAGAAGAGATAACCGATGTCCTAAGGGACCTGAAGTGACGCGAGAAGGTAGCTCTGAAACAGAGGGCAAGGGCTTGAGTTAGAAAGAATAGCTCTTCCATTGCAGGGAGAGAGAAAGACAGAAAGGCTAATGGCCAATGCAGTTTATATTTCTGTGCTGCGAAGATAAGAAAGTTCCTTTTTGATGCCTTCTGTTTCCCCTGTAAAATCTGAGAGGCGGTGGGTTGAGGCAAGCGGAGAAGTGATGTTGCATGAAACACCGAGTTAACTGAGGAATTCCAGTGGGATTCCCAGGGCTGAGGAGCGTCCACTCATGCACCTGCCACCCTGAGCTCTTTCGGCCGCCACGGCTGCCTCGGGAGAAGCACCTCTGAGATCTTTCACCATCGCCAACTCTGCCACGGAATCTGCCTAAACTCTGCAAACCACTCAGGACAGAACAACTACGCTCTGGCAACACAGTTGCCAATTTTAGGAACTGTTTTAAAACATCTCTCTTCTGTTTTTGGCATTTCTGTGGAAAGCATCAAATACAAGCACCGGTTTGAGCCAACTGAGCATGTGGTTTTAGAACATGTCGGTCTAGAAACATCAGACTGGCCCGAATTAGCCCACTTGGTCGAGCTCTGCAGCACTGATGCCACAGGGCACCGATCACATCACAGCTGGCCTGGGTGAGACCACGGAACCTCGAGAGCCTATCCAGTCACCAGTTAGATTGACAGCTGCAGAGCCCAGAGAAAAGGTCTTGCACACACAAGACCAAATCTACTACACATGGATGAGCTAGAAGGAGCTCTTTTTACTTCTAAGAAGAAAAATGGGTTGTTGCTTGACTAGCGTTAAAGCACTGAAGTTTGATATATGGGGAGGGCTACTGGGAAGCATATGAATTGAATCACATCGCTTTAGACAAATCACTTGTTCACTCAACCTAAGTGGCACAGAAACAAGCTCCAGATGAGGTAAAAAGGTGACAAAGCACCACCGTCTCCCTTTCCCTGCCCACAGATCGCTAGAGGGTCACAGCTGTCATGATGTATCTCAAACCCCACCCTTCATCCTTTCAACCGAGCCACACGCCCCTGCCCTCTCTAAACCACGCCCTGAGCATCAGAGCACAACCGCACAGCCACATCACCTGGCTGCAAAGGGATCTGGTTAAAATGAATGAACTTCTGGAAAGATCATTCCCAGTGAGTGGGACTCACCAAATCAAGGAAATTTTCCCCGCTGGGATTTGAAGGTCTAGTGCAGTGGTTCTCAACCTTCTGGCCCTTTAAATACAGTTCCTCATGTTGTGACCCAACCATAAAATTATTTTCGTTGCTACTTCATAACTGTAATGTTGCTACTGTTATGAATCGTAATG